ATTGTTTGCCTTACGAACACACTAAGTGTTTACACTCTTTTTTTCGGAAATAATATGCAGCAAGATGAAAGAGATTTAAAGCAGAGGATGGAGTACGAAAATTGGAATGAAATCCAAATGGGAGGCTAGTCTATTTATAGATGTAAAGGTGACTTTTGGTTTTGAATTGAACAGGTATGAAACCTGTTAGTTTCAAATTTAAACAGATTTGAATCTGTTGGGTTAATAAATTAAACAGATAAAAAACGGGAAGGGCTCTGTTTGGATGAGCAGTAAATTCAAACCAGTTTAATTCTGTTTGAAAATGGGAAGGGCCCTGTTTGGATGTACAGAAAATTCAAATCAGTTTAATTTGAATTATGGATTTTATTTTACCAAAAAAAATAAAATTAAATTCGGATGTTTTTGGCCCAAAAAGATTAGAAAAAATTCTGGTTTTACCCAGAATTTTTCTACCATTTCCAACAGTTGGTACTCAAAAAATATATCCCCACACATAATTTGGTGGCTTGAAGTAATCAAACAAGCATTTGGAAAAGTTAACTCTTTCTAACTCTTATTGCTGTGTTAATATGCAGCTTCTCACAAATGCTTGAAAATATGAGGTCTGAAGCCATATGATACTTCTATAATTCATTGTCTGAAATAGTCCGCCTGCTTTGGTTCTCTGTTATGCCACCACCCTTTTCTGGGCTATATTCGGAATTTTGCTATTAATTTTTAGATCAAGGGATAATGGATGTAGACATTTATGAGAAGTTTGATAATACAGAGTAATAATAAAAGTCGGCAGAATTTTTGGGTGGGAACTTTTGTAGCATTATTTCTTAGTAATCTTTTTTCTTGAGAGTCCATTATGTATCTTTGGCGCTGTTTGGGAAGCACCAAATAAGGCTATTATAGCCTATTTTGACAAATTAGTCTAAAAGCAACACTGTTGCAATCTTTTTCAAAAAAAAAAATAAAATAAAATAAAAAAATTCTGCACAGCCGGCAGTGTAGGCTGTGCCTACACTGTCAGCTACCACCCTTGTCCCATCAATAAATAAATTACCATTTTACCCCTTGATATCAATTTAAAAAAATATATTTTTAGGGATAAATTTGTCATTTTAAATTTAAACATCATTTCAACACACTTTTCAATACAATAACTCAACTAAAAAATCATCTCATCTTTCCAAACACAAAAACTAAAATAGCCACTAAAATAGCCAAATAGCCTACTAAAATAGTCACTTCCCAAACGAGGCCTTTGTTTACTGGAGATTGGATGGAGCAACGATCCCCTCCTTGACTTCCCTACTTAACTTCTTACTTGGACTTTTGAGTTTAATTTTGATGATCTGAACCGTTCACATTTTAAAATTTGTCATATATATTATACCTGCAAAAAATCAAGTCGATCGAATATCAAAAACCACGTGAACTAAAAGTTTTATTAAATAATAAAACTATTTATTAAATTTTTTTAATAAACGGCTTTTAGTTCTTTCGATATTCGATCAATTTGATTTTTTACAGTATTATATACACGACAAATTCTAAAATGTTAACGGTTCGGATTATCGAAATGGAACCTAAAAGTAGACCCGGTGACCCATCAAGTAAGGAGTCAAGGCCGGGATCCTTGCTAAATTGGATGATCCTGGTGATGGCAGTTAGATTGGGTTGAAGGAAAGGAATCTACTGGAATATAATCAACTAATATAAAGTTACTGCATTTAATATAATTTAATTGGTTTGAGTGCAAATCTTTCACTCTGGTAAAATATAACATGTTGTCGAGTGTCCCTTTTTTGTTTTGATTAATACGAAGCACTAAAAATGGAGCACTATGGGAGCACAAATGAGGTGGCTCCCCCTTGATGTGATGGTTATCTCTTATGTTTTCTTTTTCTTTTTTTACATTTTCTTAGTGGTATATTTTTTAGTGGTCTCAATCAATTTTGTTTTGTTTTCCCAATAAGTAGCTCTATTATAGAAAAATTCAGAAGAGGTGCAGCCCTGTACACATTGAAGTCTTTGTTTGCTTTTCCTTCTCCCCATAGACGCGCCTGTATCCTGTTATGAGCCCAAGAAACATGCCAAAATGATCAGGTCTAGCGGAACCAAAGAGTAAGATTCTTATTATTTATCATTAATTTTTCATGATCTTGATGCTTTAGTATATTAATTTTTATTGGTCATCTTGGTCCAACGCTGATAGTTTCGTAGGCCCTGAGATTCTAAAATGTTTCTTCGTGTACAGGGTACCTTAATAGGTCGAGGTGCTGTAGAGCTTTGTGATGGAGGACCGCCTGTAAGAACCAGATTAATAGGAACTTTACTAGTTTACTAAGTTTCTTATTTATCTGTGATCTTCTGAGCCATCCTTATGTAATACATTTTGCGTTTGCATTATATGCACCATTGTTTGATTGAAAATGCTGCTTTTAGTGGAATTAACACACAAAAGATAATTAATGCAGTAAACGAAATAGCTGAGACGGCTTAACTATTTATTGTCTTACAGATGGGAGGGGTTGTTTAGCTTTCTGTCGCAATATTGTTTGCATTGTTTTCTCACCTTAGTTGACATACATCCAAAGTCTAGACTGCTAACACTTGTTCCAGCCAGATAGGGAGGATGATACAACTGCCCTCATCCTACTCAGACCTGTTTTGGTGATAAGGGTTTGGAGGGTATCTGGACTTGGCGGTCACTTCTCGTCTCATCTCTTATTCACTTATCTTATTCAATATTCACATCCCATCATTCTTCACTTCAAATAAGCTACAATGGGAACTTTCGCTACCTTACTGTGCAAATGGTTATCTCCTATTCTCCTTGTAGTGATTTGGAAACAGATGAAAACTTAAAATGTTAGATCTTGTGAAATCTGGTTGCCCCTCATCCTTGAATTTAAAACTTTCTGAATTTATCCTCAGTTTTCAACAGATACTATGGCCGTATCTTTTGCATGTAGCTTTCTCTAGTAACTACCATTTTTATTGAAACAAGTGTGCATGTTTTTTGTTCACTTGTTGAATTTAGGAGTTCTGTGGCTCATTACTCCATACTTCTTATTGTAACCTGGATTCTGTTTGTTGCTGCTGTAACTCTGTTGTTATGTTCATGTATTATGCATATGTTGTGTTAGGTTTATGAATTTTTCTGTAAATTGTAGATCATCATCTTTATTTTTGTTAAAACTCTTGTATTATTGATTGATGTAGATTACAAGATTGATTGTATATTGATCTGTATGTTACAAGCTATTATATAGGAGAGGTGTGAGGTAAGTGAGTGGTGGTAGTGGATGGTAGTGGAGGTGGTGGGTGGTAGTGGAGATGGTAAGTGTGTTAGGTTTAGTGGGGTGGATGTAGTGGGTTAGGTTAGTGGGTTAGGTTTAGTGTACATTAACAATTTTGATGTATTTGCTCCATTTATGTAAATTATTGTGCATTCTTTATTTTATACTTTGGTATAACCACTTTGTTTGCTGTCATATCTGATTGAGGCTCGACTATCAGAATCATTGTTTCTCTCCAGAATATTGCTGGATTTGTAGAAAAATGTAGAGCTTTCTTCTAATGCTTAATAATGAACTCCCTCGTCAGAGGAAATCAACTCGCAAGCAACAGTTGAGTAAGTTATGGAACCTGATGCTTATCATGGTGAGTTGGCAGAGTTTTACATCCTTCTCGATTGCTCGTCTTCATCTTCTTTGATATTTTATCGTCTCTTGACTACTTGGCAACTTGCACACAGTTTGATATTGCAGCATGCTTATATCCGTTGTCCATATTATCTTTGTATATCAACAGTTTGAAAACGATGCTGTTTTAGTGCCAAAGGAAACATCCTGTTTCAGGTTTTATCCAGATGGGGCACTCAGACCAGTTTTGCCCCCTCACCGGTAGATCTCTGAACTGAAGGTTTGATTCCGTAGTTGTAGTTGAACATGATCTATTTCCTAATCCGCCTAGATTGCATTTCTTTAACAAGAACCAAGAACTTCAAACAAAGAAGAACAAGCCTTGTATATATGCATTACTTGTCCTGTAATGATCAGGCAAATCATTTGATTAGCTCATGTTTCGCTTCAGACATTCATCTACTTCTGCTTCTTCCTCTCCATGTCTTGGAGATTTTGTTAAATTACTAACCCGAACCACTTTAGGCCAATTCAGATTACAAAGAGGCATTGCGGTCAGGTAGTTTGAAGAAAACAGAGCTTTGAGTGTCAGACTAGAATCTTTGTTGTCCTGCATAACTATCCCGACATTCAAATCTGTGCCAACAGCAGCTGTGCAATCAGCAAAAGCTCCTACTTGCTACCCAAAGCCTTAATTTGAGCATTGCACTAGCACATCAGTGTGCAGACAAAGCTTTTACATTGAGGACTGGATTGGCTTGAAGACCTTGGACAGAGCTGGGAGAGTCAAGTACATCAGTGTGCCCGGAAATCATATCAAAATGTCCAAAAATGATATGATAAAAGTATATTGTCCCTTACTTGAAGGGGTTTGGGCATCTAAAGAGGGTCGACGAAGTTCAGAAGTTAAGTAAACAAAGGTTGTTGGGAAGGGAGGGATAATCCTGCAGTAATGCAAAGCCATACAAAAGCGCAAAATTTAACATCCAGTCACACATCAGCTGCATTTATAATTGAAGGATGAGTTTCAGTCAATGAGTTTTTTTGAGAGCAGCCTGATTATTTATTTATTTATTATTATTTAATTTTGATCAGTTTCATTCAACGCTTCTGGGTTCTGTTTTGTGCTTTTCACATGCACATGTCATACAATGACGGAGGTAATTCTACTAGTAAATCATTTTGCTCGAGTTTTTAAAATTTTTATACGCAATCCTTCAATTATTAAATTATCCATATTTCTGGGTTAGATAATTTTGTGGATTCAAAGGCTCAACCATGGAAACAAACAAATGAGCTAAAATCACAATAAAAAAAATAAAAAATAAAAGAAACAGGCATAGCTACAAAACAAAGAAGAGAAGATAAAGGCAAGTTCCTAATAGATAATAGCATAATTTTAATATTCCATCATCAACAAAAGCATAGTTACCGACTCACTGCACGATCATCACCCATTATAAACAAACAGCATATGAAAGCTTGGGGTTGATCCCAAAACACAAACGGCCTAACATAAGATAAGAAGAAGCACAAAAGAAAAGAGAAAAAAACCACAAACACTCGGGAATTAAACTCATGACCCTGAATTTTCAAGCGATCTTGACCTCGATTGTCTTGGGCTTCTTGGGCTGAGGAGGAGGCAACTTCTCCACGGTCACAGTGAGCACACCGTCCTGACAAACAGCAGAGATCTGATCAGTATTAGCATTCTCAGGCAACAAAAACTTCCTCATCAACTTCCCAACCCTCCTCTCCATCCTCAAATACTTAGCCCCATCTTTCTCCTCCTCACGCTTCCTCTCTCCGCTGATCACAAGCAGATTGTCGTCCTCCACCTGAACCTTGATGTCCCCTGACGTCAGCCCGGGCATGTCGATGATGAACACGTACGAGTTCGGGTACTCCTTCACGTCCGCAGGTGTCGCCGCCATGGCCTTGGCGTCGCGGACGTAGTTGCGCGACGCTGCGTTCACCGACTTGTCAGTGGAAGCTGCGTCGGCGGAAGCTTCGGCTGCGGCAGCCACATCCATCATGTGCTGGAGAGTGTGGAAGATTGGGGAGTCCAAACCCACTAGCCTCAAATCCATTTTTTGATGAATTGGAATTGGAATTGGAATTGTAATGAAGTGAAATTATTTCGAATTTTGGTTGGTGTCTTGCGTTGTATTGGTTGAGTTATTGAGTGTAATATATATAGATTAGGGAGGCGAAGGATTTGAAGTTTCTAGACAGACTGAGAAGGGAATGGGCACAAGTTCCGGAAAGTTCTGTAATTTTCTTCTGAAATTTCTGGAGAAATGAGGAAGGTTGGGACACGTTCTAGAATTTATAATACGAGCCCAAAAAGCCCATCTTTAAAAAAATTTCTAATCCAAACTTAGCCCAACTCAATTCAATAAAACCTTATCCAATGAATTACATGCAATCCATTAGTAATTTTAGTTCAACCACGAACTAACAGATCTTTCCTTATATAACCGATAATAAGAAGGGCACTCAGCCCAACCGGTCTAAATTTGAAAATTTTAAGAAAATTGTCTCAAATTCTTTTTTTTTTTCTTTTTGTTTAATTTACTATCATCGTCTATCTGTCCATCTATTTAACTATTTGCCCATAATTGAGGGACAAACACGGGTCTAGTCCTAGCCCATAGGCCACCATATGCCCATCTAATTCACTCATTTTTTAGATAGATTATATATATCAACAATGATTCATCTCACTAAAAACACCATCACTAGTAGCACTAATGTATTAAAAAAGTAAAAAAAACACCATATGCCCATCTAATTCACTCATTTTTTAGATAGATTATATATATAAATAATGGAAAAAACAAAAGACTATTTTAATAATTATAACTCCATGAGTTCATTATATTTATATTAAAAAAAATCACAAGTATAATTTTAAAATTAGATTATATATATATATATATATATATATTTAAAGAAAATGATTTGTCTTCAGTTAAAATTTCAATTAGACCAAATAATTGAGATTTCTAATCAGAAAGAGTCATTAAATGAAAGACACTGACTGAAAAGAATCATTACACAAAAAACTCTTACCGAAGTCTTCGAAAAAATTCAACTATGTCATATTTTCATAAACTCTTTTCAGTTAGAGTCTTTCGTTTAATGATTCTTCTTAGTTACAGATTTCAACTGTCTAGTTCGGTTCAACTTGGAGATAAGTCAAATCCTTTTTGGAAGATTAAATGTGATGAAATCATATGAATACTATTGTTGGATCAATCTAATTCTTTATGAATAATCTATACACGAGGCTTAAAAAATTAATAGTTCAAATCATTGAAGTAAAGCTCATGTTAGGCCCACAGGCCCAAATTGTACTATATAATAGTAATATTTTTAAATTAAGACAATATTGCATGATTTGGTCTAAAAGGAGATAATCACAAAAAAATTCTCATGTTTGATTTGCCTTTGAAATCATGACTTTAAAAATCAAAATTTTTAAATCACTTTTTAAAATTCATAACCAAACACACAACTCAAAATTCAATTCAAAAATTAATTTCAAAACTCATAACCAAACACACAACTCAAAACTCAATTCAAAACTCTTTTGATGATATAGTGTTGAAAATGGTTAGTGATGAGATTATTAAATTATTTTTTATAAAAAAGCTATTAAAATAATTTCTATATTTAAAAAAAATATCTAAAACAAATATATATATATATATTCGAATAACAGGTTGCAATTGCACTAAAACAAAAAAAAAATGCACTAACTGGTTGGACGTCTGGGAGGATGTCTAGGCGGGTAGACCCAATCCGCTCTTCTCAAAATTTAAAATTCAAAAATTCCTTTTAAAACTCATAACCAAACAAAAAATTTTAAAATTTCTTTACAAAGATCTTCGAATTTTCCAATTTTAAAGAAAATTCGAATTCTCTAGAAATTGTGAGAAGTTTAGATTCTTCAACAGTCACAACTTAAGAACACAAAAGCAAAAAAATGATGGAGATAAGAGATTGGGTAAAGAAGAAGGCAAAGTAGCTAAAGAGAGAATAATGGCAAGGCTCTCCCATAAATCTCTCACTTTCACTCTCAGGGTTGATAATGGAGAAGGAAAATTAGTTCTTTCCCAAGAATTGTCTCTCCCAAATCCATCCCTTGTAAAGCTATGTGTGGATGCTATTTAAAGATACCTCATGATGTAGGATGGAGCCCATGTGCAAGGCACATGGGGAATATTCTCTCTAACCACCTTGTCTGAGGAGGTGACCTCTTCGAGGATGAGGAAAACCCCGAAGAGAAGATCAACCTCTCGGTGAACCCTTTTTCTTAGCCACAGATAATCAATGATCCCCAATCATCCCAAAAGGCCGAGGTAGTACTAGAGAACCCCACGCCACTAAATATTGCCGAGTCTCATGGACCCCCGGGAGTCATGCCACCTCGATCTGGGTATAGGTAGTTTAACCGAAAAGTGAATTTATCTCCACTCACCGTCATCGGGATTGAGTCCTGTGTTCAAACTCCATTACGCCCATGGTTCTGGTGCGTAGATCCCAGAAAGTTTCGAGCCCGCAAGTATTCTGCGACTCACCAATGGAGCGGCTTCTAGATTGCGATTGAATCTATTCGAAACCCGAGTGCCTCAGATCTCTAAGCTTGCTCAATACCCTTTCGAGTCCGGGCCCAAGTAAGTCTCTAAGTTCGTGGATCCGAACCTTTTCGAGACTTAGAGCGATTCGGCCTGTTTGATGGCGATAAATCCAACCCCACCAATCTTGGACTTGCGATAAATTTGGACCCACTAACCTTGGACTATTAGACCTAATTAATTTAGTGGGCTCAAATTAACTCTTCTTACATTTGCCCGTTGCATGTATAAGAAGTTTTAAATTTCTCAGACATGCATATTGTCACTTCTTCGGCTCTGCTTTGCATCACGTCCCCAGAAATATGTTGTTTTGACAAAGCCTATGAATAAAATTGATAACTCACTGTAATTTACGAATAAAAGTAACAAAATTATTATTATTTTTTTTTTCACTTATTTGTTTTTCGAAAGCCAACCTTAAATCTTCAATTTCCTTAATCAACAAGCATGAGTCCAAGCCTTCTTTTTCTTTTAGAATATCTGAAGGTCCACTTTCTTATTCCAAGTCAAAGAATAATAAAACACCGATTTTTTATTCCTGAAAATATAGGAAAAGATAAGGTCCAAACACCTCTTTTTTGTTTGGAAAACAACAGGCCCATTATATATATATATTATGCCTCTCTGTTTTTCCTATTTAAGGAAAATGACAAACCCTAATCAATAGCTTCCCTTTCCTCTTTGGCCTACAATTGCCGAGACCACCAAACTTTTTTTTGTAAAAAACCTATTCTCAGCCGTCTCTCTCTAAGATAGAGACCAACCCAGGCTTTTTTCTTGTTGAACGAAAGCTCTGTTTGTATAATACTTAGGGGTGCAACTTGGGCAGGCTCAACCCGAGCAACCCGAGCCCAGCCCGAGTTTTTTTAGGGCTTGGGCAACTATATCTTGCAATCTGGACGGGCTTGGGCAAAATTTTGATGCCCGAATTGCAATTCGGGCCGGGCTTGGGCAGAACCAATGGCCAACCCGAGCAACCCGAACCCGAATTGAATTTAATATATTATATAAATTAAAGAGCTATCTCTCAAATTTATGCACCAGATTTGAAATCTATCCTGAATCTATCTCTCTCTTACGCCATGGTCTCATCTGCGCCACTAATTCTCGCTGCCACAGATCGGTGACTATCGTCTGGTGCTGGGTTTTGATCTGTACATTTCTCTTCTCTACGGTTCTCTTTTATGCTGGTTTGTTGTGTTTTTGGATCTGTTCATGTTGGTTGGAAATGAATTTTGGCAATTCGGGTAATTCGGGCAATTCGGGCAATTCGGGCTAACCCGAGCTCAAAATACAAAGCTCGGGCCGGGCTTGGGCAGCAATGCTCGGGTTCATGGTCGGGCTTGGGCGGGCTTGGGCACTGCCAAATACAATTCGGGTCGGGCTTGGGCAGACCCCCAACCCGACCGAACCCGCCCGAGTTGCACCCCTAATAATACTTAGAGGCCACTGCCACTTGATCGTTTCCCGCTGCTGCAATTTCAATCACCGTCTCTGTCACTGAAGACCCACACCACCTTGCACACTGTCAACAGCCACAACTTCGGCTAACGTTGGCGTCGCGCCAGCTTCGGCTACCACCAGTTCACGCCAACGTCTACTGTAACTCCCGGCGCTGGCGCCGTCTTCATCATCGACCCAACCTACAGCTGGCCCTCTCTTTGCGGCTTTACTTCTGGCCCCGACTGTCCGACGCTGACCACACATGTTGCCCGTTCAACGCAACATACATTGTCTTGCCTAGCGCCATTTAGCTCATCACCGATCCTCCATCTCAGCTTATCAACACTCTTCGAAGTTCCGAACCCCCAGATCTTGGTCTTGATTTCACACCCACTGAAATTCATCGCCATTGGTTCTGGCCATGATTAATCAACACCAACCACGCCGCCAACTCAGCACGGTGCTGGTTTGCCTAGCTACCCATTGCCAGTGCTGTCATTCTTGGCCTACACTGCCTTTGGCCTTCATTCTCTTCCTTACTTCTATAAGTCTATGGGTAAGTATATGTTTTTTAATTTTGGTGGGAGCTTTTGTGTAAACCCACTTTCCCTTCTTGTTTTGATGGACTTTTATATTCATGAACTTGGAGCTATTAGACCATAATAATTGTGATTTGAAACTTTACTGAAAAACTTGAATCAATCTTTAATGTTGCAACTCTCGCTGATGCTGGAATTGTTAAGCCCAAGGGTAAAAAAAAAAAAAAAAATTAATCCATGAATTTGGATAAATCAATGCCTGTTTGGGCTTTGCATTCTTGGAATATGCTGTGGGACTTGCTTAAATGAATTTTTTTTTTTTTTTCTTTTTTGAGTTGAAACTTGCCAAAGAAATTTTGAGCTATTAACTTTGACTTGGGAGAAACAGTCTGGGCTTATGAACAGAGCAAGGATCCTCTAAAAAAAATTTTCTTAAAGTTTCCTAGAGTAGTGCATTGTGTGGTTGAGATTTAATGACAAATCACATCAATTTTTCAGCATTAAATTTCAACCACACAATACACCACTTTAAGAAACTTTAAGAAAAAAAACACTT